TTTTGACGTCATTAACATGGTGACGTCTCAGTCAGTCAGTCAGTCAGTCAGTCAGTCAGTCAGTCAGTCAGTCAGTCAGTCAGTCAGTCAGTCAGTCAGTCAGTCAGTCAGTCAGTCAGTCAGTCAGTCAGTCAGTCAGTACAGTCAGTCGGTCAGTCTGTCAGTCAGCAATTAATCAAGTTTTTTTTATCAATTCTACCATTGAACCCAAGTAGAGTTTGTTGATCATGAGGAACAATGTTGGATGACGAGTTGATGGTGAGCAGCTTTTGCTGGATCATACGGTTTTGAACTTTGACCTCCAAGCAAGCCAATCTTTCCTGGTAAATCTTCTCACACAGTTCTTGCTTATCTTCCTGGTTAATGGAAAACCAATGACAATGATTAGAAGTAAGAAAAATAAAGTCTCATATAAAATGTATTTATTATATATGTGCCAAAGTAATTTAATAACAAACTACTTCATACTGTATATAAATATACAGTATGAAGTAGTTGTTGTAAAGGATGTCTCTAGTGAAACATATGAATGGAAATTTTGGATGTTACACACACACACACACACACACACACACACACACACACACACATATATATAAATAATATATATATATATTTGACATTTTTATTTCATCAAATCAAAACAAAGAATGATATCAATGAAAAGAAATGATTTGGAAATCGAAAAGAAAATATGGTTTTTTGGTATTGATTACCAGTGACAATTGTAAAAATGAGAGCATATTTTAAATATTTTAGTACATGTGAACTTACATTCATATTACAAATCCTAAAAAAACTAAAAACGGAATAAAAATTATTATGTAATCAACTCTTTTACATTTTTATCAGAATATCGTTTGTAATTATTAAAACACAAATATATATATATATATATATATATATATATATATATATATATATATATATAGACTCACGCAAAACATACTTATCCACACACACACATATATACACGCACACACACACTCGTACATAAACCCACACAAAAAGTTAAGGGGGTTCAAATGTTAATAGAATGATTTAATGTCTTTTTTAAATTTTACAGCGGATTTTGCTTCCTTCAGATATTCAGGTAATTTGTTCCACGTCTTAGGTCCGACGACTCTTATGCTACTATTGATAAGTTTCAATCTGTTTTTTCAATATAAAATGTTGAGGTATGTCTTGTGTGTTTTAACTGGATTGCGTTACTATAAATAAATTATTAAAATTTTTTGGAATTAAGTTGTTAATAAGTTTATATATAAATATTGAGATGCATGTGTAATAAATTTGTTTTATTGAAGTAGTTTTGCAATCTGAAAATAATTAGAGGTGTGGTCATTAAATTTCAAATCGAATAAAATTCTTATAAAACGTTTTTGACATTTTAACAGTGAATCTAGCAGATAAGCAGGACTATTTCTCCATATGATCACGCAATAATGAATATAAGGGTATATAAAGCTCCAATACAAATCTTTTAATATTGTGGAATTAATCTTATTTTTGATTTTATAAAGTATACCTATGAATTTATTGATTTAAGATTTTCTATGAGATAACTGTAAGACAAATTATCTTGCAAACTAAACCCCAAAAAACAACTTGATTGGTTCTGTTTAATTTCACATTACTAAACACAAGGTCCAAGTCCGAGAAACTATTGGTTAAAATCTTTGGTCCAAAAATAACATAGGCCGATTTGAGTTTGTTCATGGAGAACCAATCCTCGAATAATTTGAGTTCATTATTTATGACATCTAAATCTCGTTTAATGTCATCAGAAGAATAAAAAATGTTTGAATCATCAGCGTAAAGAATACAATTCATCTTTTTTGATAAATAGGGAATGTCATTTATATAAATTAAAAAAAGCAAAGGGCCTAATACAAACCCTTGCGGGACTCCACACGAAGCTTCACGCGTCCCAGATTTAACATCATTCACAAAATCATATTGCTTTCTAGATATAACTCTCAAACCATTGATTTGTAATACCACGAATCTCATTATGGTTAAGTTTATGTAACAAAATATCGTGATCAATCAGATCAAATGCCTTTGTAAAATCGAAGAATATTCTAAGAGTAAGTTTACGTGAACTCATGTTGGTCAATATTTTTTGAACCAATTCTAGAATGGCTAGTTCACATGAATGGTGGGCTCTGAATCCGTACTGTTTTTCAGTGAGAACATTGTTTTTCATAAGAAAAGAAAAGCGTTTGTAACGTTTGTAAAGAAGTTTTTCTAATACTTTGGATAAAGGTGATAATAAAGAAATTGGTCTGTAATTATTTAAGTTATAGGGGTCAATTTTTTTCATGATAGGAACAATTTTTGAGTTTAAAGCTTGATGGAAAAATACCTTGTTCGAGAGAAATGTTGAAAATATGAGTAAGTGGAGATAAAATTTCGTTTTTGAAAGTTTTAACTATGAATGAGTTAAGTTCATCAAAAGTTAACATTTTGGGCTTAAGCGAATTTATTATTTGAATAACTTCTGACCGATTGGTAGGTTCAAGAAAAAAAGATCTGTAAATTTTTTTTAGTTAATTCAAGGAGTCAACAGAGAAAGTGTTTCGACAAGAACTAACCAAATTAATAAAATTATCATTGAAGGCATTAGATATTTCAAATTTGTCAGTAATAAATTCGTCAGCAATTTTAATTTTATCAATTAAATTTTTCGACTTATTTGTTTTTAAAATGTCTTTAATTATTTTCCATTTATATTTAGAATTATTTTTAGCCAAATAAAAGTGATTTTCATAAAAATATTTTTGAGCTGATCTATTAGTAGATTTTAAAAAATTTCTAAAATTTTTATATTTTATTAAATTATTGTCGCTTAGATTTGTTTTATACTTTTTAAATAATTTATAAACGTGTTTAGATAAATTTAATATATCTTTAGTAATCCAACTTTCTTTAAATTTCTTATTTTTAATTGCTGTTGGAGGAGCATGATGATTTAGAATATTTAAAAATGTTGAATTGAAGTTATTATAGCTTATGTCAATATCAGATTCGTTAAAAACTAGGGATGCACCGGATTCAGGTTTTTCAAATCAGGCCGTGGCCGGACTTGGCCGGATTTCAAATTCAAAAGCCGGCCGGGGCCGGATTTTAGTTACCATTTTACATACGTTAGAAAAAATACTCACATTTACGGTTATCTACACGTTGAACATCAAAAAATAACGCCAAGCAAATAGTTAATTAATTCAAATATATGAATAAGCTGTGTGATACGCCAAATTCTGTACACAAAGATCAGCTTATAATTTTTGCATAACCCATGTTATAGCATAAAAAAAATTGTCCAGCTCATCTCATAATTAGTGATGTTGTTATTATGTGTCATGTATGCCTAGCTTTTAACTTATTGACATAAAATTAATTGAATTCAATGAAATTTTTTTTTCTATTTATAACATTTTTAAATGTCGATAGACGCTTAAATCCGATAAAAAAGCCGGATTTTGGCCGGAGCCGGGGCCGAACTTCGGTGCATCCCTATTAAAAACAGAGTCCCAGTTTCTTTAATAGCTTTTATTGTATTAGATGAAAATTTCCTTGCTACTAAGATGTCATCTTTCTTAGGAAGTGATGTTTGTTTTAAATTAAATGAAAAAATGGGATAGTGATCTGATAGATCCACCATTAAAATGCCATTTAGGTGATCTGAGTAAATATTGGTAAATATATTGTCTATTAATGTTGAAGTTGTTTTGGACACGCGAGTCTGTTGATCAATTAGCAAGTGATAATTCTGAGAATAAAGAATGTTTTCGAAACTGTTTTTAGTATGATTCGAGGAGTTCAAGTTTATATTAAAATCGCCAATAATATATGAAAAATTTGATACATTGTTTTTGTAAAAGTTTGATAAAAAGTCAAAGAATAAATTTAAGTTGGATTTAAGGGGTATGTAAATTAAAGTAATATTGACAACATCGATGTTCAGTTGAAAAATTCGCAAATGTTTTCATCGAAAAATTCATATTTTTTTGAATATTCAACGTTTTTTTTAACAAAAAATCCAACTCCCCCACCCAATTTTTTTTACGTGAAAGATCTATGAAATCATAGTTATCTAAATCAATTGATTTAGACAAATCAGCAGTTAGCCAAGTTTTTGTGATAACAAGAACAGAAAGTAAATAATTCAAATTAGACAAAAGTAACTGAAAATCGCTTATTTTGTTGAATATGCTTCTTGTGTTTACATAGAAAATAGAAAAACAGTTTTTGATAGTTGTGTTGTCTTCGTTAAATAAAGAGGAAAAATCAGGAACAGAAAAATACTCACTGCTGTGAAATAAATTACTCGAATTCAAAATAAAGTCAACAGAACTTGTGTTATTTCTAGCCATGTTTGTTGTTGTTGTTGTTTTCGATGGTGTCACTTGGTTTGACATTAAATATCCAATCGCGTATAATTGCATGTTCGGGCCATAAGTCATCTTCGAACATTTTAAAATCTTCATTGTTTGCGACACAGATGCGAAATGCTGCACTAGATTTGTTATCATCGCCTTCAACATTTGAACCTCGTTTTGCTATTGGAAAGATGGATATAAATTTTATTCCAGCTTTGTTTAAGTGTTCTGTTTTGGTAATGTTGAGGTTTCCCAAGTAAATGAAAGATTTTTTAACTGGTGGTGCAACAGCTTTGAAGCCAAGTTCAGCTTTTAATTTTCCTGTATTTTTCCTGTATTTTTCCTGATTATTTCTCTTTTAGGTGTTGAAGCGGTGTTAAGATAAATCAATTTGCGACGTGAAATTTTAAGTTGAAAAGGTTTATTTTCATTACCACTTTCGTCAGTTTGTATATTTGTTGAACAAGGAGCTTTGTTGAGATCTAAAAGTTTCCCGCCAGACCAAGAATTGTTAAGAGTTTTCGTGTTAGTTTGTGCAGCGTATTTCGTAGATGATTGTGCAGCGTTAAGTTTAACAATATTTTCTCTGGTGTTGAATGTATTCAGAGTATCAAACACTGTTTATTTCACACAATATTTTCATTGACCAAATTTTCAATTCTGTCAATTTTATTATTTAAATTCGGGGAAATGTTTGTAAGTGTTTCATTGGGAATTCTCTCGATGTTAAGAATGGTGAATGCTGATAACAAACATCCCAGTTTAGTACTTCCACGTGTTGTAATTTTAATTTTTTCCTTTTTCAAACTTTCCAATTTTCCCTGTAAAACTTTGAGGCCATTCTGAAGTTCAGCGGAGGTATAAAAATCAGCTACAATATTTCTAAACTTGCCGTTTTTCAACTTTTCAACATTTTTAGTTAAATACCATAATAATTCGCTAATTATAATTTTACGTGCGTCCGACATGCCGGAAGCAATATATATAAATAAATATATATAAATATATATAAATGTTGATCTATAAATGTTGATTTATAAATGTTGATTTTACAAAGGTTATCACACATGCTGACATTTATTTTAGGCCACATTTATCAGTAACTTTTAATTGATTTTATTGATTTAACATTTCATATAATTCAATACAATATTTAAATTAAATAATAAGCAAATAACTACAAATTGGGGTATTATTTTTAATCGAACATGTCTTTCTAAAAACCTCGTACCAAATTATATATATATATATATATATATATATATATATATATATATATATAGTATTGCATAAATTCTACCGAATTGTTTTCATTAATCAATTTAAAGTTCATCTTTCCAATTTTCCAAAAACGACACACTTTAAATTGATTATTACCAACAATTCGGTCGAATTTATACAATACTTTATCAGTCTTCGTTTAGCGTCCAGAGACCCAGTTTAGGACGTTGTTTTCTTTGCCATCAATATTTTGCGCCAAATTAGGCGATCAGTTGTATCCATTTCATTTNAATTTAGAGCTTTCATGTCTTGCTCAATTGTTTGCGACCAGGACTTCTTTGGACGGCCTTTGGGACGTGTGCCAGGTACTTCAACATCTGCAAGAGAAGTTATGGCACTGTGTCCATTTCGTTTGACATGACCAAACTACCGCAGACGGTTTTGCCGGCATTCGTCCTTTATATCATCTAAACCAGCACGACGCAAGATTTCGGTAGATTTGATGTGGTCCTTCAGACTAATTCGTTGCATCCATCGGAGCATTCTCATGTCGGTTCGTTGAAGTTGTTGTTCCAGTTTGGTTGTCATTGGCCATGTTTATGCACCATATAACAACACCGGACGTATCACAGATTTATAAAGTCTTGACCGTAGTGGTAGTGGAATGTCACGCCGCATCAATATAGAAGCAAGAAGATACCATTTATTCCAGGCTGCATATATGCGTGCTCGAACGGCATCAGTTGTATCCATTGCATTCTGCTCAGACGTAACCGAGCCTTCGATAGGTGGAGCGTCAAAGTTGACATTGATGGGATTTGTTTCATTTAACAGACGGTTGAAGTATTCTCTCCACTGTAGCTTGATCTCATCTTGTTCAAGAACCATCTCATTTTTGTCGTTTTTGATACATAAGGCACCAACTATGTCTTTTTTCGTACGCTATGCTTGTTTTGCTATAGTGCCAGTTTATACAATTTTTAATAATTTTCCCTATAGTATTATTTATTGATTTAAATTTTTTTATTTTTCTAATAATATATTGTAATTTATTATTTAATTTATTAACTAAATTAACAAAATGTTTTATAATGTTTATTTTATTGATATTAATTTAAAAATATCATTATTAATTTTAAAATAACATATATAAAATATGTAATGTATCTTGTAAACGTAATCTTCAAGTTGAAGTTGAAAAGCAATATTCATCAAGAAAAATTTTAACAGATTTTTAGACAAGTTAGACCACCAATCGCAAGCCAGGACATATTGGAGTACATACAAAACCGTTTTGATGAACGCTGCAACTACAGTTTGTGGGAAAACTGGTACAAAACGTCAGTTTTGTACCAGTATGGTATGAACGGCACGTTGTGGACTATCATGTCTATACTGGGAGTAAAGATGTAGGCTATGATCAAATGTGTTAAATTGTTTATTCATAGCGGGTTTATTCTTGTAGATGTATAAAGCTTCTTTAATTTTGAGGCGAACTGGGTGCGATTCACGTTCAAGTATTTTCGTGTTAACATCAAGTAATGCTCTGGTTAGTGGCAAACCGTGAGATTTGAGCGTATGATCTTTAATGGCACCGTTCTGTACGTGCATCGTAAGCCTTCTGGCCAGAGTAGTACGCGTATGCCCAACATAATTTTCCACAACACTGTGTGGCATAGGACAATTGAAGCTGTACACCACGCTACTCTGTTCCAAAATACTTGTAGAATGTCTATTACTATTTTTTATTATTAAGTTAGAAGTCCGGTTAGTTTTATAATATATGATGAGTTTAAGTTTATGTTCACCATTACACATGGAGATATTAGATTTTATAATATTTTTAAGTTGAAATTCATCTATTTTGTAGTTGTCATGCATTTGATTAAGGTAAAAGATCGGTATTATTGTTTTTGTTGAAGCCGATGGTAGCAAAGGAACAGATGTTGAGTCACTGATTTTATTCAAGTATTTGCGAATAATGGTATCTATTAACTTGTTCGGGTAATTATTGTTTATTAAGAATTGTTTGATTCTAACTAATTCACTATGAAAAATAGTATTATTGGATGAAATTTTATATGCCCTGTGCACAAAATTATAAACTACGTTATATTTATATTTTTTAAGGCAATCTGAGTTGTAATTAAGCACCTGACCTGAGTTGGTTGGCTTAACATAGACCTTTGAAATTAATTGTTTCTCGTGTTGCATGATAAGACAATCCAAAAACGCAATTTCATTTTCTTTGCTGAACTCAATAGTAAATTTTAGATGGGAATTATTTTGGAAGACATTCCGCAAACAGTACACATCAGAAACCGTTTTGCAAATGACGAATATATCAACATATCGTGCATATATCAACGGCTTGTTATCTGGGTCTTTAAATATGCGAGTTTCAAGATCCGACATATAAAACTCAGCAAAAAGTGGGCCAAGAGGAGATCCCATCGCCACACCATCCACCTGCAGATAAAGTAAACCATCGGGAGCAGTGAACGGACTCTGAACAGTGCACAATCGCAAAATATCTTTGAGTAAATCTGGATGTATATCAAGCTGAGGTAGTGTGGGATGGTTGTAAACGTGTGAACATATGATGTCGATAGTATGTTCGATTGGAACATTTGTGAATAGGCTCTCAACGTCGAGAGAAGCCATATGTCCATCACACTGTTTATTGCCATTTATGATATCAATAAACTCACAACTAGAATTAACAGAAAATGTGCGTGGAATATACGGTTGTAACAGTTTATTGATTGTTTTTGCCAAGTGATATGTAGGCGTGGGGCACTGTGAAATGATAGGACGCAAAGGGTTATTCAACTTGTGTGTTTTCACGTTACCATAAATATATCCATACATATAATTGAACATATATATATATATATATATATATATATATATATATATATATATATATGTATGTTCAATTTTATGTTTAGCCATATTTTAAAGGTATGTTACATTATTAAACTATAACCTAATCTACCTGCTTTACAAACATGTGCACCACAAAACAAATTGTTGATATTTAAAATTTAACTATAAATATGTTTAATTTTATGTTCAATTTTATGTTTAACCATATTTCAAAGGTACGCTACATTATAAAACTATTATTATCAACATTCAATATATTTATTTTCATCTTAATATTATTTTATATCTTCCTAATTTATCTCATTTCAAGGATTTTAATATTTTAATATTATTCACAACAATATTCAGCTCCGATGATGGCTAAAAAGCCGAAACTGCGCTGTCAGCTGACAAATTTCATGGATGTTTTGAATAAATACGAATTCAAAAAAACTGGTGTGAATGGGCATACAAATTTAATGAAATATG